ACAAGATATCTAAAAAAAATTTATTTTCTTAAATTGTGTAGCCATATATCAATGAGCCTAACAATAAAGGCCTACAAATTATGGAACTTGAAAATCTTTTCAACTTGACCATGGCTTCAGACAAATCTGGGCTTCAGGTAACAAACTGAAGTATGTGCTCACCCCTGTTTGGTTGGCTGCAAAAACTTTACAACTTTTGAGTAGTTAATAGAGCTTCATTCTGCTTTAAGTATTTCAGGTTGCTATTCATGCTATAGGTGATAGAGCAAATGACTTGATACTGGATATTTACGAGTCAGTTGCCTCAAAAAATGGAAACCGGGATCGGAGGTTTAGGGTAAGGTTTGATGTTAATTGTTTTGCATTCTTATGCGTAAGCAGACATTATTTTCAGTTTCATTGTGACTGATAATATTTATGCATTACCATTATTTGATGGTGGGATCAAACATTTCTAGATTGAGCATGCTCAGCATTTGGTACCTGGAGCAGCAGAACGGTTTGTTAAACAAAAGATCATTGCTTCAGTACAGGTTCTTTTGCAACAACCATGTTTAGGCTTTTGATTAATTACAACCTGCTCATGAAATGTTAATATCTGTTTTGGATTTTTCAACTTTGGTGAAGTTCCAATTTGAACAATTTTTGCAAATAAATTGCGTTTTGTAAATGCCACTCAAACATGGTGCCAACAGAAGTTAGTTTAATTGCATTAAAATTGAATCCAATTGTCAACAGCCGGATCACCTGCTAGATGATGCTGACTCTGCAATCAAAAGCTTGGATTTGAAAGGGCTCAAAAGGGATCATATCTCTTTCAGTCACTTCTATCCAGCAATGCAGTAGTAGCACTTGGTTCTGATTGGCCAGTAAGTGTTATCTTCTAATGCTTTCTTTTTCATCCATGTTATTTTCCTTACTGAAACCATTTCTGGGAGAGAAGACAGAACCTCAGATCATGCTATTGTTTCAGGTTGTACCTATCAATCCTTTAAGTGCCATCAGAACAGCAATGAAAAGAATACCCCCAGGCTGGGAAAATCCATGGATTCCATCCGAGCGTCTTTCTGTTAATGATGCATTAATCGCGTGAGTGTCACTGGAACTCTTCAGTCTTTCAATACATTACATTACCCATTGGCCATTCATCCCCATAAACATACAACTTTTTCATTTCAGGCACACGATTTCAGCTGCTAGAGCATGCTTTCTCGACAATAACTTAGGATCCTTAACTCCAGGCAAACTTGCTGATTTTGTCGTACTTTCCACCGACTCATGGGAAGATTTTGCCACAGAGGGGTCTGCATCAGTAGAGGCAACTTATCTTTCCGGTGTACAAGCTTACGGCCAAGTAAAAGCTTCCGATTTCAATGCATAGATTTTATTTTTAGTAACTCACATAGCATAGGCGAAACTTATACCCTTCGGACATAAAACTTCATGTAACATATGTAAAAGTTGATGGCTTCCTTCTTTTTTCTTTTTTCTTTTTTCCTTTTTTTTTAATAAAAAATAAATCTATTTTATCAATAATAAAAGATTTTCGGAGTTACAGTGTAGCATATGAGAGCTGGCGTACAAAACAAGGATAAAATTCCGAACCCAACTTGTTGTTCTGATATTTAAGCACGATTCAATATACACCACAAAAATTTGGGCAACTGGTTATATGCGAAATGAGCAGCTCATAAAAAAATAAAAATAAAAATAAAAATGTTTGTTTTTTTATGAATGAGTAGTACTCCTTTCTAATCATACCACAAAAAACTAGTACCTAGATAACTTTGTCTTCCAAATGTGATCTTTATCTTCAAATTGTCCTGCTGTACAACTAGTATATTACCATTAATATCTACCACGTGAATAATTCTCCTTTCTAATTATAGCATCTTCGTCAGTGTCCTCCTCACCCTCCAATTTTGGTACGAATTTTCTCTCTACCATTCTTCCTAAGAGATGAGTTTCTCCATACCAGCTCCTTCTTTTTCTCTGTGCCTTCCTAGAAGCTGCTCTCCTAGATTCTTCAAGTACCAGTCCCGCTCCTCCTCCGCCGCATCTCTGTCGTGCTTCCGTGTGGCGTGTCGCAGTGGGTCACAATACACAGCCACTGCTGACTTCAAGTTCGCCTTGCACGATGCTCTCGATTCCATTGGAGTCGATACTTCTCACGCCAGAGTACTAACTTGATTCTCTTTCTAGATTCATTGTACTGTTTGTTGCTTCTATTGAGATTGAGGTTGATTTAATGAGAAATATCGTTTTTTCATAATTTTAACTGATAATGCTTTTAAATTTGGTTAATTTAAGCCAGATTTTGTTTGGTCTTTGACTTATTTCCTTGTTTTTTTACTCTAATAACTTAGAATTGCTTTTCTGGCTGAAATTTTGAACTGGTAGTCTAATTATTTATCTGCTTGATAAACAAATTTCAGTGCTTATTTATATATATATAGAAGATATTGCATATGAGTCCCTGACTCAAAGAAAAAAAAAAATTTAGAGTACTAAACTATATTGAAAAACTAAATTTTAATTTAAAATTTAGAAATTTACATAATAATATTTAAATTTAAAAATTGATTATATTTCTTTAAATAATTAATTTTTAAATTTAAATATTAATATTTAATAAGATATATTTTTAAATTTTTTGTTAAATTTAAATTAAATAAAATGATGTAATTTAATGTTAAGATTTTAATTTATTTTAATAATAAGAATTGATATGTATTTTTTTTTCTCATATCAATATATATGTATGTATATAATTATTTTTTCCCTTGAATTTAGTTCAAGTTGTTTGTGAAGTTATAAATTAAAAAACAAAAAGGTATATTGTAATCCAAAATATGTTAAACTGTACAATACTTACAGACAGGGGATGAATTTTGATATGGGGCCGTCCCCTCATTCAACCGCCGCTGTTTTTATACTTAAATATAATTTGAACTGTAATTAAAAAAAAAATGGTAAATTGCAATTCATCCTGCACAAACGGATGGCTCTGATATTGGGAGCACATACTGCAGTACCGCGTTCTTATTAAAAAAAAAAAATTGAAAGATCCTTTCACACTTCATTGAGAAAATACATTACACACCAAACAATATGTGGAAGATGTCTTCAACTTTGATGTGTTACAATTTATTATTATTATTATTTTTTTTTTCTGTTTTTTGTCTAATACCAACGAAGGATGATTGAGCAGGAAGCTAGGCAGGGTTTCATTTCCCAAATTGAAAAGTTATCTGCAATCGAGAGAGCAACCAGCATTAGCATAAATAGACGTGTTGACTTGGGAAGAACAGCCCTTTACATAGCAGCGGAGGATGATTCACTCATTTCACATTCTTCTGTACCTCTGCCTGTGGAAGCCTTCCTTAAAAAATTGGATGATCTTTCCACAGGCTACTTTTCTCAATATAACTCGTCGTGCCAGGCATCAAGGGAAAATTTCTTGGAGAGCATAGAGAGATATCTATATATCAAAAAGGTGTGCTTGTTTGTAACAAATATTTCAAATGCACAGAGTTAATTTCTTTCCAAGGCTTTTCGGAGTCATTTTGGTGTTTCTCTTGTGTTTCTATGACCTTGGCATTTTGGATGAATCAGTGTTATGTATGTCAAATTTTTATACTGAAAGAAAGACCTATTTGCTCTTCAAGTTGTATGTGAAATACAGTCCTTTCTAATAGTGAATCTATTATTTTGGTAAGGGCTTCAGAAGAAATAGTACCAAAAATCAATTGGAGCCGCAAGCTCTATATCTTCCCTCGGTATGAAATTTCACCTTTTATGTCATAATTATGTATTCAATTATCATGGAGATGCTTACTTCTGGGGGTTTCTGTCATTAATTATTGATTTTGAGCAGGTTTTGGCACACCGTTCAGGTTCTGCTGTTATGCTTTCACTTATATATTCGGAAATACTGAAAATGCTACGGTTGTGTAGACTTTTGGATTTTGATGTGGAGATATTCTTCCCTCACGACCTTCATAGTCTCCCAAGAGCCTATGATAAGCAGAAAACCAAAGAGTCTGATCAACTACATATAATGACAACACAAATGCTATTGGATGAGGTGAATATTTTTTTGTTTCTCTCATATATCTTTTCCCTTGTGCTGTAAATCCTGCCTCTGTAGATTTAGAAATGCCACATGATAAATTTTCAACTCTTTCAGCAGGATCCGTTTTAATAAATTGTTTGTGCCTTAATCTTGCCATTCCTAATTTCTCTATTGAGTGTTTGCAACCTGTTACTCAGGAACTTTTTGTTGTATTATCCGTTCTTTGTTGTATGTTGTTTTATCCATTCTTTATCTTATTTTTGCTTCTTATGTAGCTCCTTTTGCCTGATCATAGCCGTCTTCTAACATTACCATACTTTCAGATTTTAAAAAACCAGAAGGATGCTTTCTGGCCATTTCAACAGGATCATACTGAGAGTTTATTCTTAAGGGCAGCACTGGCTGCCAACTTAATCGATGGATTCACTGGTGTTGAAAGGTGTTTCAACTATATTGCAATTTTATTCATGCTTATTCACAGCTGGATTGCTTTAAGCCTATCATTCATTACACTGCACTCTTTTTGCAGTGGCTACCAGCTTGCATCTGCGAAGTTTGCTCAACATAGGTTGGGGCATAGTGCTTGGACCAATGTGCATTATTGGGAAATGAGACTTGCTCTATCTGGTATGCATCTAGCATGTAATGCTAATTTAGTTGATTGTTTCTTTTACCATTAACAACACAAGAACGCCATTCTGGAATGGAACTGATGGTTTCAAAGGCTGCCGTGATTTTTTTTAATAGTCATTTAATACCAAGTCAAATCTGAAATTCGGATTTTGGGAACTGATAGGATTGGTTGATTTTATTTAGATGATGATATCATGAAAGACAATGCAAATCAAAGAAAAATCTACAGAGTTTTTTGCACCATTCCTGTCTAACCATGTGGTTCCTTCTATCTTTTTCTTTTTTCCTGAGGCTTTGCCATAAATCTTTCATCTTCTTTCCTCTCTTACTCCTCTTCCTCTGGGTTTCCTGTCATCAAGCATTGCTTTCTATTGTAATTTCTTTCTCTTCTAAAGTTGTCTTAAAAGTTTTCTCTTCCAAACTTGCTCTTCCATGGTTCCATCGCCTCTCTCTCATATACTGGTATCTGAAAATCTTACTAAGCAAAACAATTACATTTAGTTTCTATGGAATTTGGTTTATTGTTCATCTTTTACTTAATTGAATTGTCAATTGTTACTTTTTTTACAGCATGTGAACGCCTTATACTACTAAAAGTTGATCCAAAGGAATTAAGAGATTACAGCATCCTCCTTTACCATTGTGGATTTTATGAGCAGTCATTGCAATATCTCAAGTTATATCAAGAATCAAAGGTAAAATTTACCTTTGAGATTATACGTGTCTCTCATTTTTTTGTAGTGAACTTGACAGAGGCACTAAAGAGCTCTAATCTAAAATTTCAGAGTTCACTGCAAAACCAATCACTAAATTCAGTGAGCAGCCTGGAAGAAGATGTTGCACAAAAATTGATGGTGCGCCTCAACCTCATTGCAACGGAGGATGGTTGGAGCAAGCCATCACATGCATCAAATTTTCTCTGTACAAATTCTGAACCATGGTAACAACATACATGCAAACTCTCATATCATTGAAAGGCAAAGAGCTGAATTTGGTTTCTGTGAAATGGAAGTTTGGAGAGCAGTGGTTTATCAAATTTAACTACGCTACCTGCGGTATCTATGGAAACCGATAACTGTTCCTAAATCTGGGTTAGTTTCAATACAAGCCTGCAGAGCCCCTGATGTAAGCCGACGTGAGTACTTCAGCCTTGCACTTGAAGTTGTCCTCAACTTTGTTACTGAAGGTGTAATTTATAATCTACTGCTCCATATACCATTAGCTTATTTGTTCATTGCCTCTGTACAGCACCTAGGCAGATTCTCATTCAAGTAAATATTTTTGTAAATTATTGTGTCTAATGCTGTTAAATTAGAAGTATGGTGTTATTATCTGTTTCTCATGTTAAAGGGGAGAGCAGGATAGCTGTCATCAGTAATGCGCCAGCCATTCCATAGATGGAAAGTTACGTGCCATGGGTGATTCCTAAAATAGTATGACTATAAGTTTCTTTTAAGCTTCATTTCCTCTGAAGTCCTTCAGCAAAAAATTGTACTATACCTGCCAAAGGGAGATAAAAGTTAAAATTACTATATTTACCCTCTAAAACATTGAAATTCCTACATAGTTTTTTTGAGTAATAGGGGAAATCTTTATGAATTCCGAGGACAAGCAAAGATAAAACCCATTCCCACTAAAACCGCCATGAGTATGGTAACCATTAAATTTGTTAAGCTTCCTTCAAATTCTTATTTTAGTTTAATTATAAAAAATAGTTAATAATTAATAAAATAATTAATATTTATCATTTAATATATTAAAATTAATTTATAAATAATTTTTTAAAATATTATAATTAATTATTTAAAAAAGTATAAAAAAATAAAATTATAGTTAAAAAATAGAAATATATTTATACATAAATTTTATATATCACATTTATACAAAATCACAATTATTTATTTTTTCATTTTCAATGGTTGAGATTTATCACAACATTTTAAATAAAAAAGATAATTATATTTAATAAAAACGAAAAAAAAATAAATCTCAATTTTTAAAATTAATATTATAAATAATTAAAATTTTATATAAATATAATATATGAAATTAATATATAAATGAATCTTTATTCTAATTAAAATTAATAAGCCTTACAAAATTTTGGGGCAATAAGCTCATTTTACTTAAATTATTGGTTAAAATATCAACTTAATCCTTCAATTTTTAGATTTATCTAAAATTATCCCTTAACTTTAAAAAATATTAAAATTATCTTTAAACTTAAATTTTCAATACTAAAGAAGTCCTCCAATTAACAAAAGTACCGCAAAACTCAATTATTTTACTACAAAATTAATTTTTTAAAATACTAATGACATATAAAATTAAACAATCATATTTTATTATCATGATATATTTTCATTTACATATTAAATTGATATATAATCAAAGTTAAAATAACAAATTAAAATTTGTAATCAAAGTTCAAGGACTAAATTAATATTTATCTTCAAAGTTTAAGGACTAAACTGATATTATTTTTAAAGTTTGAAGACTATTTTAGTACAAAAATTAAAGTTTAAAGATAATTTTAATATTTTTCTAAAATAAAAAAATAATTTTAATATAAATTTAAAAGTTAAGGGACTAAATTAACATTTTAACCTAAACTATTTCAACTTTTTAATGCTCCATAACTCCACCTTCACGGAAATCTCAATGTGCTGGAAACAAACAAAACAAAGAAAAAGATTGATTGACCCACTACTAAGATGCCCAGCCTAAGGCTATTGAGGCTATAAGGCTATAGTGCTAGTGTGGGGAATTAAGCTAGAGGCCTAACTTGACTTAGGGGGTTAGTGTGGTCCACAAACCCTGTTATTGCTGGGGCCTGTGATGGACCTAAAATAACTCCAATGATGCCTACCTAACCCGCCTTCTCCATTTCCCACTCTTACCATGGCTTTCTTTTCACTTTTCCTCGATTAATTATCAAGTTAATGGTAATAGTATAAGAAAGAGATTGCATATAAATGTTAATGAAACCTTTTAAATAAGCCACATTAATCCACAATACATCATTAGTCACTAAGCCAAAATAGTTATTAAACAGACATCCCATAATATCCTGCCTCCTGCGGTCCTACC